GATCATGCCAAATCATCAACAATCAAATCCAGCTAACTGAGTTAGGGACGTATGAAGAACGGGCCCCTGAATGATAACTGGGTACCTACCACGTGCTGAATTAAACATGCAATGTGACCGGGTCATGTGACAAATTAAGAGAGATCATTTGACAATGTAGCATATAACTGTTTAAAATATTTATAATTATTACACAAAAGACATTATACATTAATAGTAAGATGATTTCATTACTCAATGCCAGTTTAATCTGTGTGTGATGACAGTTTACCTGATATGGTCATAGTCCACTCCCTCAAAGAAAGGGTTAGTTTTGATCTCCTCCACTCCAGTGGCTCCAATCCTGTGCTCACTCTCACAGCAGAACCTGGTGGAAAACAACAAAACACTAGGTGAACACTGAAGAAAAACTGACTGCTTAAAATAAGCCATGTCTCATGTAGTTTAGCAGCATGGTTAATGAAAGCAAAATGCACTCGGTTGAGAGAAGAGCTACAGCTAAGATAGAGTACAAAATAATGGTATAGAATCACAGCAAAAAAGATGAAAATAAAGCCTTATAAAAAGAAGTGGGAGAATGATAAGTAGTGAGAAGGCTAAACCTGAGGATCAGATCCTTGGCCTTTTCTGAAATTGGGACCTCAGGTGGAAATGTCAAAGTTTCCTGCCAGTTCATCACTTTCCTGTAAGTTTCCTGAGGCGTCTCAGAGCAAAATGGAGGGTAACCTGAAAAACACCCACACAAACCAAACACTTTAGCCGTATATCAAAATAAACATACTTATTTTATTTATTAACCAAAAATCGACTCACCTATCAGCATTTCATACATAATAACGCCCAAACTCCACCAATCACAAAGCTTGTTATACCCATTTTGCATAAACACTTCTGGAGCGATGTAGTCAGGGGTTCCAACAGTGGAGAAGGCCTGAAAAAAACACAAATATTTTTATCTCCAAAACTCTTTTTACTTCTGATGCAACACAAAAAACATTGTGAGATCTAATGGATTACACAAGAGTACACAGTAATCCTTCTTCAGTACTTCTACAATCATCAACTACCATATTAAGAACACGTTCATTTCACAATAACTTCCTGAAACACTGGATCTATCTGTACCCACCCACTACGTGTAGAACAGTATTGGGTCAAGAGGAAACTCTTACCAACTGTCTCCTGTTTCGTTTCCATGTTTCTGCTTTCCTCTTCGAGTTCATGTTCTGGAACGCTGAAGAAAAAAATTAATCCAAAATTACAGAATCAGCCATGCAGCCCTTTCATTTTTTCCGTCTACAATACCATTCAAATGTTCTGGGTCAGTAAGTTT